TATCAACATGATGTTAATTGCTGAGCAGTTAGTATTTTCCATTAGCAACACAAAGAATATTAGCGCCGTGAACGGCTCCCTACCTAGAAAAACACTCCCTGCGCCGCACCTGAGAAAGATGCGCCTGTTTGTTCCTTAAACAATCCAGGAGGCAGTTCCTCGCACGCGATTCCATCTGCGTTCACGGCTGCAGACTATTTGCTATTCCCAGAAGGTCATTTGGTTAATGCACATTTGAGTTTTCATGGGCTCTTAACTAGTTTTTAATCAGCAATTATTAGTGCATTGGAAGGCTGTGCAGGCGCTGCACTCTCCGCTGGCAGGAGAGTGCCCATCAATGTCACGTCAATTTCCATGCCAAGGGCTACATTAGGCCCGGAGTCTGGCAGGAAGCAGCCACCTGAGTGCCTCATCTCCCCATCCACAACAGTCTTCCCATCAACTATTGACTCTATTACACAGCACTGTCAAAAAAATTTTCCGCTCCAAAAGAGGAGCAACCATTACATAGCTGTGCGGAGAGATAATTTAGTGATGCACATAAAATTAAGTGCACATCCACTGAACGTTGCTCATTATTGCTCTTGAATTCCTACAAAGCCGGCGGGATCATGGCTGCTCCTCAACCTTTCATTCCGTTCCTCATTTTCAAGGTATAAACACAGGTTGATTATTTAGACTGATGTACTACATAAATAGCTGTCATTTCCGCCTATACCTAAGCGAACTGTAATTGGCAATTAAACGTGCCAGCATTTCAGACCGGCTCTTAATTACCTTTAATAGATGCCGAGTGGCCCTGAGGTGTCCTCGCAGGATGAGGATCTCCTGCAGAACAGCTTCACCAGATGAATATGCAGAGTGGGCAGGTATCCTTCACCGCCACCGTCCCTCCTCCGTCTCTTGGATCTGCCACTTCTTTGTTGCAGCTGCTCAGTGGCCGGAGCTTTTGGTGATGCTGCTGCATCCTTGCTTTGACATTTCAGCACATGGAGACTTGTTTGTGTTTGCCGTGGAGCTGCTGTCACATCCAGCCTGTTAGAGCTGGCCCAAGGGAAATTTGCACAGAGCCACTGGCACGAGGCTGAGGCCTTCCAACGAGCCGGTAACACGCACACATGCTGGGGTAAAGTTTATGTGCATGTGGGGGTTCTGCTTGAAAGAAAAAGTTTCAGTGTTGCACAAATGTTTGAAACTACAAAAGGCAGACAAGTTAACCAAGACTCCTGGTAAAGATTTAAAGCTACACGTATTATTCACTTTTAGAGAGCTGCGGCAAAGAATTGCAGCTTTTAGACGCTACCTACATGCTAACCAGATGTGTGGAATGCTAATAAGCCTTTTCTGTATGAAGAGAAATAAAGGGATGCAAAGTTCCAATCAAAGTTCATTGGCTCTGCTCCTCACCTCCCTCTTGACCTCTGAGGGAGGGTGCTTCTCGACAGCAGAGTGCCATGAATGCTAAGGCTAGTCGTCATGGCCACCAACGAAGGACTGAAACAGTATTTTGTTTTCCCACTATTAGCAATCATGTACGTACCCCAGCATGATTAGCAGCGGTAAGACCTTCCTCCTGGCTCTGATTGGTTGTTTTGGACCGAGAGTGGTACATTTCTTCAGACAGGGAGAAGGCTACTTTTTTTTTTCAGACTGTCTCATATTATACTGTAACGACATGATGACAGTTTTAACAAATATATATATGTAAAAAAAAGTTAAATAAAAGTTACATACCCCAAACCAAACTGACCGAAATAAAATCACCAAAGACGCACACATTAATAATCAAACTAAGTAAAAAATATATATCTAGAAACATCCAAAAGTCTACTGGCAGTTTTACTGTAAATGTGTGTTTTGGTCAGCCGAGAGTAAAATTATGTTTTTAGGCAGCAAACACACTACGTGGGTCTGATCTGAAGCAGTGGATCAAAGTGATGATGTGGGCCTGTGTTGCTTCTAGAGTTTGGACTCTGAAATAAAATTAGCTTATACATCAACATGTAGTCAGTCAGAAAGTGGAAAGTCTGTCACTACTGAGTCACATAGACAAATCAAACACACTGAAAAGAATAGAACTGAGAGACATTTTTTAAAAAAAGTCAAATGTAGTTGAAATAAGTTTGTCAAAGTTACTTTCTTGATAAACTTAATGTGATTACTTGTGACCAGTTAACACAATATATTTAAGTCGGATTCCCCATTTTCTTTTTTCAGTGCAAGAACTGGTACATGAATCTGCCTTTCACCATCTCGGTTTCCAATAAAACCCACAGCAGACCTGCAGGAGGAGCTGTAGTGAAGCGAGCGTAAGGAACCCAGAACTGTGGAGCAAACAGAGATTGGTGACATAAATAGACTAAATGCTGCTCTATGAGCAAAATGGGGTTTAGTAGATTACTGACAGCAGAGAGAGTAATAACTATGACAAGAGTGTAAGATAAAGCTATGCAAAAAAAAAAAAAAAAAATGAAAATCAAAGATTTTTACACATCTTTCCCACAGGTGCCAAATGATGTGTTTTTCAGTGCCGATGCATTACTAACAGAGGAAAAATCTTTTCATTTCTAAAATCAGGCGGCTGTGGGAGAATCTGCCCATGCAAACCTTTTCTTTTTTAAAAAGTACATTTACACAGCAGAGTGGTCTTTTGCCTAAATAATATTTCTACTTTGAAGCAAACTTTGATTTGACAGATTAAAACAGCTCTCTCTTCTACGCTACCAGCTGACATTTAGCTCCCATAATGACTTCTGATTGTCTCGCAGAGTTCCACCAAAGACCCCAATCGTTGTGTTTAAGGGCCTGTGAGTGTTGAGCTCTCTGATCATAATGGCGCTTTTAATTAGCACTTAATTAAAGGCAGGTGGACTGGAAAGGTCAAGCAGCTAGGCTTCGAAGTTAAAAACACAGTCAGCGGGGGCATCGACGCTTTGATGGGTCTGGCTGCTAATACAGTGACCACAGTCTGGACAGAGCTCTGCCTCGGCAATCCTTCTCAGCTTTTCTCACGCTCAGTTTTTCTATGCGGTGGACTGCACAAGTGCGCTTTGGCGGGATATTTTACCGTTTAATTTGGGTGTTTATTCATTATGATTGCTTGTGGATGTCTGGGCCAAGCAGAAAAGAAAATCAAAAACTCCCCCGAGAACAAATTGGATCAACAATGTTCTCATTACACAAAGGAGAAGAAAAGGAAAAAAAAAAACAACAACCCAACAACAGCGGTGTGATCTAAACTTGTGAAGCCTCGGCCGTGAAAAACGTGGCTGAGAACAGTATTGATCTCAGTCAGAATAAATAGATCACCTTGTCCAAATGAGTGATGAAGCTGTCAGACTGTTGGTCTCACCTGACAAGCATCCACATTAGAAATCCCCATGGCTGAATTTCAGCGGCATCGTGTTAAACAAGGCTGTTTTATATGTGCTGGAGGATCCCCACCGTGGAAGCTCTGTATGCAATGGAGAATTTATTTTCTTAACGTATTAAACAAAATCATATTGTGTGAAATCATCACTTCACACAGTATGCTAATGAACACCCGAACAGTTTCTCACAAATGTTGAATGCAAGAGCAACGAAAAATTTATTTTTAATAGAGACATGTCAAAAATATTAAGGTTCATCTCCATGTACTGCACAGGATACACACTCAGTCCTTCACTTCCTTTTGCATGAATGACCAGCCTGTGGATCTGGGCTCAGGTTGCTTCAGCAGCGACCTTCAGGTCATCGGCACAGCTGGTTCAGGCGTTTCTTGCTTCTTCCTGCGGATGTTACTTTCAAAACTGACAATGACGCCTGGTACCGAGTCCTTCTAGAAAATCCCATCAACTTATCCATAAAGCTCGTTAGAGTGGGGGGGGGAGAATGAAGTTTTGTAAAAATGTCATGATACACGGCGGAGCTGGAGTGTTTGTTTAACCCGCTGCAGCAGTTGCAGATCAAATCCTGGATATGTTTTGTTTGTGCCGACTCGAGAATCACACTCCAGCTGCAGGTCATGTTTTACAAATGGAATGGACTCTGCTTCAATACTTTAATAGGCTGCGGTTATATCTGTTGACTAACATTTTTTCCTTCCACTAAACTTTTCATGAATTCTCCTGGATACGGCACTCCAGCTTCTTTTATATCAATTGTGATATTTTAGATTGCAACATAATCAAACCTTCATCCGAATTAAAAATCTGTTTTTATGCTTGTGTGAAATATTCAAGTTTTTACAAAAACTTAATTTGGGGGTTTCTGTTGGCTGCATGCCAGAATCGTTGAAATTAAGAAGTTATCATTAAGTGAGTTTAATGTTTGGAAATGACTTAACTACACTATTAGAAAAGTCTGTATACAAATATATTTATAAAATCTAATAATTTGAGACGTTGGAGGAAAACGTCAGCTCACAGCAGAACTAAGAGCTTGAAGACAAACACATCAAAGGTAAAGCGTTATAAGCGTGTCTCCCTACACTTGTAAGGATCTAAACTCACCGTCATGCACTTGTCTGTGGAACTCATTTACTTTGGCACGTCTTCGATTCTTTCCACTCCTCCCTGGGATCCATGTGAAGGAAATGGGAATGAAGCAGCCTCCTCTTCCTCCTCCCAGGATCTGTTCAGGTGCTGGCAGAGGCCACTGAGGGGCAGCAGTATTACACTGCAGCTCCTGCTTTCCGACGCTGTTCCTTTCCCCAAACTCCATTAATCTCGCCGTGTAGAGTGACCCCAAACGACCCCGGGTGCCAGGACGTGCAGTGTGTGTGTGTGCGTGTGTGTGTATGTGTTTGCGTGTACCGGAAATGTGGACTGGAAGTCTGTGTTTGGACTGAACACAGCAAACGTCCCACAAACGGTGGAGCGTCCGGCTCCAAGATGCCACTCGGTTCAGACTCTAAGCCGTGACGATTCGCCGCATCTCAAACGTGTTTCGTGTCGTCGTGTGGAGACGGCATCGGATTCATTTTCTTTGGATTGGGAGAAAAGCAGAAATATGACGCCAGAGTGGAAACCAGTAATATAACAATTCAGTTTATTTTTAGTTATTTTTCCAGACAGACACATCAATTTCTGGACCACAGTAGAGGATGGAAACCTTTCACAGACATATTTTTTTTGTCAATATTATTATTTGAAAATACAAATATAAAATTAGACTTTCCACATTTGATATGTGAGAGACCCCCATCCATTATTATCACCATTATTATTTCAGAATATTTTTACAATAGGGCTTGAGCAAAGCCATATGATAACCTGAAAGATGCTTTCAGATGTCAGTCAAGTCTGTCTGTCTCTCGCCATAAAAAGTCGGTTAACATAAAAAAACAGGGGCAAGTGTTAGGAATGGGCCGGCGGCAGCGAGCGCGGCTCTGTGCTCGGCCTGCGGAGACGTGGAAGCACAGCAGAGCCTCTCGCTGCCGGCCGGGCGCTCTGAAGGGGGGCGTCTGGGCTCCACCCCGCTCCCCCTCTCGGGTGTGTGTGTGCGTTCTGCTCCGTCCAGACGCCGGCGGGCGGAGGGAGTGAAATCATGTCTTCGAACGTCAGCTAGTGAGAGCATGTTTCGACTAAATGCACGAGGAATATTTCGTATACAGCTGAGGTCTCCAGTCTAGTATTTTCACACAAAGTCAAAATGGGTGAAAATTGCAAATATATATATATGTATTCCCATGGACACACACACACACACACACACACACACACACACACACATACACACACGCACAGATATATATATATATATATATATATATATATTGCAACTGTTGGTATACTTAACAATGAATGCGGCTGAGATGGTTTGAAGGGAAATTCACCCTAAAACGTGACCTCATGTGAGAACTTGTGTTATTTCTGTCACCTTGACGAGTTCAGTCGACGTTTCTGAACCTGAACCGTTTTTATATTTATATCCTGTAACAAGAGGAGCCAAAACTATAAATATAAAGTGTTGGCGAGTCACTTTGTGGCCTCGGAGACTAACTTTGTGGTCACTGTGACTGTAGCCAGTATCTCTCAGAGATAAGGGCACATAGTCTGGCTTTAAACCATTTAGCACCACTGTGATTAAGCCTCTCTTCGTCTTTCTCTCTCTCTTTTTATTTTCTGGGGTTAAAAATGCTCTACAACATTCCATGAGCCGTCAAGGTCAGTCGAGAGTGACCGGAAGTACAGCGAAGTCTGAGCCTTACGATAAAACCAGTGAATTGAGCTGAAACAAAATGAAGACTGCATGCTTTGGACAGAAATATCAGAAGCGTGTGCAGTTTTAGGGTGGGATTTTCCACTAATGAATGGGGGATATTATGGTTTGGCCATTGCCTAGCACTTGCCTCGAGATTCAAGTTTAAATGGATACGGTAGTACACTACAAATGTCAACACCATTCCAGGTTGACTTTTTTTGAATCTTTTTTTTTTTTTTTGAGATTACTTTTCTTTCCTTTGTTTTTTGTTTTTCTTAAACTGAGACCCGTCCCCTCTCCCCGAATGGATAAGCTAGTCTACTAAGATGTGTAACATTCATCAGCTGTAAACTGCTGTCAGTTTGAGAATAAATGAAATTACAGCAAGAGCCATGCTACCTTAAAGTCCAAGCTACAAGATACGAAACAAAAATAGCATTTTCTAGTATTGTGCAAGGGGCAAAAATGAACCATTTCAATGTTTTCCCTCCGCCCCCCTTTTTTAAATGAATTTATGGGCAATTATAGTTAAAGAGCCACCCAGAGCTGAAAAAAATCACATAGTGTGCAACTCAGGCGATGCTCTCTTTATTTCTGTCTGAATAAGGCTGAAATTTTAGTGCCACCGGATAAACAAATTGTTAAAATTATAAGTGGCATATCCTATTTCCTTCCTTAATGATTCAATATCAATGAATTATTTATTGTTCCAGACATAAGGACAATTAAAATCATTGAAATGTACTTACCTTTAAATAAAACACCCTGTGTGCTTGTTTGAATTGACTGGCGATCAAGCAGTCCTCTACTCCAAATACTGCATGTAATCTAGCAGAATAGAGCAGCTGACAGCGCCTCGGAAAGGTATTCATACCCCTTGAACTTTTTCATGTTTCCAAGCAAAAACAGCGAATCTCTGTGTGTAACAGACCAACACAAACCAGAGCAGGACTGTGAACAATTCAGGCACTATAGAGTTTGCAAAAAGCCACACAGGCACACGGCAAACATGAGATAAAAATGCAACTTTTTGAGGCAGACAATTTAAACCCGACATCACCCTGAACACAACTTCCCCCATTAGAACATGGCAGTGGAAGTATCATGCTGTTGGGATGTTTTTTTCTTCAGCATGGACAGGGAGGCTACTGGTGTCCAAAAAAAGACACAAGAAGCTAAAAGCTGAGCAGTTCTGCAAGGAAACCTGCTGCAAAAAAACACTTGAGATTTCTATGTGATCAGATTCGATCCAGACTGAAATACAATTGAAAACTCGTGGCGAGATTTGTTACTGTTCAGAGAGTCTCCTTCCAATCTCAGTGGGATAGAGACAGTTCGCCAAGAAGGTCAGCATCTAGAAGTGCAAATCTGGTAGAGACTTACACCAAAATACAAGCAGGTGTAACTGAACGGTGGTTCTGCAATATGAATGCAAACGCACGCCACACTTTTCAGATTTTAATTTGTGGAAAAAAAATAAAAAGTAGAACCAATTTTGTTCAACTTCACAAATGTGTTTCTCGAGGAAATGCATCAATGTTTGTGGATGTAATATGACAAAGTATGAAAAAGTTCAAGGAGTACGAAGTGAGGTGATGTAACCCAAATATACGCCATAAAATGTTAGAAATTATGAAGCAAAATTATGCCACCGGAAGATAAAGTGGACTGAATTGAGAGCACCTCTTATCAAAATTTAGGGTATAAAATGTTCTTGAATCCAGCAATGAGTTAAAATGCCAGTCTGGTTCTACACTGAACTAAAACATCTAATAATGTTGGCAAACAAACAACAGCTATTATTTATTTAAAGTCTTCTTCTTTAATGAAGTGTGTTGTGCTGTTTTGTAGAGTATGACATCTGGAAACGGTTTGAAATCATCTTTTTTTTTTTTTTTTTTTTAAATCCAGAAAGTGATTTGTACTTGAATAATTAAAGACCAGAGAGTTTTATCAAACCTCTGGTGTGACTGATGTTGGAGTTTAATTTTTCTAGTCATTTTTCTAATTTGCTTTTACGTGTTCCTCCTACAAAAAAAAACAAAAAAAACAGCTCTGTCTAGCATTAGCATTTAAGGTAGTATGGCACACCCCTTTTAAAACATTCAAGGGTGGGGATCCAAATAATGCCTTGTGTACAATTCCATCTTACAGCAACAATTTCTCCATTGTTCATCCGTGAGAGCTTTGGTTAGCTGAAACCATGTTAGAGTGGCAAAAAAACAAAAAACAACAAAAAAAACAACAACAAAAAAAAAACTGAAGGAAAAAAAACAACAAAAGAACAAAAAAGAAAACAAAACCTAAACAAACGTACAGGGAATAAATTACAACAAACAAATATCAGAACAACATGATCATTGAGAGAAAGATCTATCTTGACTGGTTCTAAATCCACTATTCACTACAAGTATTATATAAATGAGTCCTATATAACATCTACTTTGTAATTACAGGAGATAGAAAAAGAGCGCGAGGAGGGAGGGGGGGCTAAATATGAGAGAAAGGAGAGGTAGAGCGAGGGAGAACAACAAAGCACTACACTGGTATCAAAGACAGCACTCTGTTTACAAGTTAACTGTGATTTCTTTACACACTAATGAAGTACATGGATGAGCAACAAAAGATGGCGGCATCTCTGAGGATGTGGCATGGAAAGAGAGAACGTAATGGATGCACAGTACATTTTTAATAGTATAATACAATTATTAATATAGAAACCACAAAGTATCAATAAAACTCTGATTAAACTTGAAATCAGCAAAGCGTCTTTCTTTTTTTGTCTTTTGTTTTTTACTTTTGTATTTCTTCTTATACATTTGAACATTACAAGTTTTTTTTTTTCCTTTAAATTATTACTTGACCACACCTCCATATCATTTACTTTAGAAGTATCCAGCATATTTATTACCTGGTTGTTTTAAAAGAAAGAAAGAAAAAAAAAAAAAGAAAGGAAACAAGTGCATAAAAAAAGAAAACAACGGCATTGATAAAATTTAAAAACCAGACCGCACTCTGGCGTGTAACATTACTATTATTATTATTTAATAATAAATCGATGTCAAGAATAAAACCTTTTTTTGTAACCACACTAATATACGGTGTAAAGCCGAGTGCGGCTACAGATAGTGAATAATTCAGTGTCATCTTTTGACCCTGTATAAATATCCTCAGGTGACACGTGGGTCTAAAGGATAGAAATCCAAGTGTACGCTGCGACACGCCCGTTTTCACATCCCGAGCTGCTTGTCCGGTTGGGAACACGTTAACCCCTCCCCCCGGCCCCACCCCAAGCGACCCGTCCTGACCGCCGGTAGATCCTTCATGCTGTCCCAAAGCACAAGGCCGTTTGTAAAAAGCCAACATACACATGTGCAAACAAGAGGATGGCCTGTACTTCACAACTCACAGTGCAGCGATTACTCGCTGTAAAATAGCCTTTCAGTGTTTTCTTTTGCAGTTTTTTTTTTTTTTTTTGACATTTCCGCCACTAGAATAAATTAAAAACCCGCCGATGATTCCACGGTAGAAGTCACGAAGGCTGAGGTATGGTATCAAAATGTTTACTGTCCTAATTCATTCAAAACAGAACCGATTCAAAGAACAAGCAGTATATATATATTTATATTTATATATATATATATGTAGATAAAAAGGCTCGAGCATGGAGCCCAGGTACTTTGTTCCATGACGTGAATCAGGAACAAGCAGGATGAAACGGACATTAAACACATATACAGCTAACATGTTCCTCTCAGCAGTAGAAAAGCGTCAGGATGCGCAGAGCTCTGCGAAATGCCCGCTTCAAGTTCGAACCATCGCGTATCTTCGTACAGTGTGCTTTGGATAAAAATCTTTAACTTTTCCTCTCTCTCTCTCTCTTCGTCTCTCCCACATTGAAGTGATCTTTAAATCATAATTGCTGTTCTGTCTCTAAAACGCCATTTAGACTAAACTCACCGGTCATAAATTTGCTGGTATGACACTTTTAAAACGATGTTCCGCGTTCAGTATTTACAACGGCTGTTTGTGGGCTTTGTTATACCGTCTCTCAGCAGAAACAAAACAAAAAAACAAACAAAAAACAACAGAATAACAAAAAAAAACAAAAACGTAGAATATTGTTTACAGCTTTTTCTTCTATTCACACGCTAGAACGTATTTCGTTTGACACACCATCACAAAAATATGCTATTCTCTCACTGAGCTGGTTATATGCAGTGACTGGAATAATATGTACAGCTACATTTCTTTTTCTCAAGTTTCAATTCACAATGTCGTTATATGAAATTTGTTATAGCATATATATATATATTTATATATATTTATATTTCTACACAACAGAAACGACACTTATAAAAAAGGACCATAAAAATATTGGAGTCCTCTTTGTATTGCCCAAAAATAGGTAATCATGGTTTACAATGAGACATCACAAGAAATAAAACAGCTACTAAAATTTATTACTTAGATACCTTCTGTTTAAAATTTCCTTTTTTTTTCTCCTCCAAGCCCGACCATACTGAGCTTATTTTTTTTGCTGAAAGACCGAATGGAACTATCCCAACCACTTTTGTTTCATTTTTTCTTTTTTTTTGCCATTACACTAACCAACACGAAGATGAAGACGTGACTTGCAGATATTCTTGGCTCTGACCCGCCGTACTTTAAAAACAAAACAACAACAAAAAAAAAATCAGAAAATGCACTTACAAACTACAAGAAGATAAAAAGTCGAGGTTGAACTCAGGCGACACGCTAGAAAGTAATCAAAAACAAAACGCTAAGGGAAGAAGGAAATCGGTGAGTGAAGTTGACGTGGAACATCATACCAAACCAGGTTGTAAAGGTATAGGAGGTTTGGGTTATAGTACAGCAGTTGTTTGTTTTTCTGAGATGACAAACGTTTTTTTTTCTCTTCTTCTTCTTTTTCTTCTTCTCCTTCTTCTTCACATGGTTCCCGCTTTTCGCTCGTTTAGCCATCGGTGACGCTGTAGTGCTTGAAGTTGGATAATCATCACCTGCACACAAAGCCAATTAGAAACTCCGTCCTGTCTGTCCCGGGCCACCAGATATACTCTGCTGGGTAGTGAAAGAAAAGCAAAGGCACAAAAAAAGGAGAAGGTTATTAACGTATCTGGACAGAAGTGCTGTTGACACTACTTCACACAGTTTTCCTAATAAAGTACTACGAATGCTTGTGGAGACGAGGAATCTAAAAACTAAGCGATGAAGATGAAAACTGTTTGATACCTCTGCAACCACCAACAAAGACGTGTATAAAGCCTTTAGAAAATATAAATTCACTTTATAATTTGGAAAAAAACATCAGTGAGCTTTTAACCTCCTCTATCTTATATGTTTCCTGTTCTAAGGTGAGTCATGTCTACCTAATTAAATGTTCATAGATGCTATGGATGCTCTGCACATCAGCAATAACATCAGTATCGGCTAATATAAGGCTTTTTTTTTTTAATATTGATGTTGGTCAAATAAATAAAACTGGACCAATATTTACAACTGATATTTATTTCCATCTTCCTGTTGTGTGTTTCTGCAGGGATAGAGGAGATTGGCCATGTGGTATTTCCCACAATCCCCAAAGGATTGTGGGAAGTTCAACTGAAGCAGATAATCAGTTGTGAAGTCAGCAATGTAGTCATTTTTTTTCAAAATGTCGAAAGAGTTGGGAAATATATCATACATAAAATATCAGTAAATATCGGTTATTGGCAATATTAATATCAGATATCGATATCGGCTCAAATTTTCATATCAGTAAATCCCTAATAGACAGTGATTAACCTAAACTAGAGAAACGCTTGGGGAGGCATCGATTTTGTTAAAAACTAGTTTTTTTCTCCCCTGAAAGATCGCAAAACAATGATTTTAAGTCAAACAAATTCCTCAGGGGATTGTAAAAGAAAGGGCTATTTTTAACTTTTATTGGATAAAATTGTGCAACTTCATTTATTTTCAAGCTTTTTACACGTTTTTAGTAGGGATGCCAAGTTACAGCGGAGGGTCCTGCAACTGTGCTGAAACTACAGCGGTTTACGCAAGCTTCGTGAATGTGTTTGGACATAAGTATAAAATAAAATTACATCCCACTGTTGCGTAAAACAAAGCCAAAGGGGCTTTTTAAATGAAAATTAACACATCACAACATGGCACAAAGGAGCTCTGGGTATGTCAAGCATTACATCTTCAAAAACAGCTGCAGGGAAATAGAATTATTTTCTTTTTCTGGAATCATAAATCCTGACAATTTCATTGCACAAACAAGTAACAATTTAAGGAAAATGGTTGATAGGAGAGAAATAATTGTTAGGGCACTTGGTTTTTTTATATAATGAATAAAATGCGCTGCCGCTTTCGCTTCTGTAGCAACAGGGTGTTGACTTATTGAGTTGTTAACATATGATTGGCCAAAACAAGACACTACTGGAGGATGAAGGCATTTCAAATGTTAAAATGAGAAGAAGAAAAAATGAAGAGCTGATGGTATGCTAGTGTGTGGGACCTGAGCGACTCAGTTAATCACACAAATCGGCCGAGATTACTTTTTAAAATTTTTTTTTACTTGAATGTGGATGTTTTTTTGTTTTGTTTTTTTGTGTTTTTTTTTAAAAAAAAGAGAGAAACGCTCCCTCTCACACACACCTGTACCACCAGCTCCAGCATTCTGACATAGAGGTGGTGAAAAACGGCGAGGAATGTGATGAACACACATCAAGACAATACTTTAGAGAAAAGCACAGTAAATAAAAGGCAATACCTCTGATGAGATAGCAACCGGCCACCTGTTCAATGGTATCCGTTTGTAAAAGCTGTCGCAATCAACGGGCCCTAAAAGTGTACAGTTAGTGCTGTTGTCAGTATGCATTTCAAAGACAGAAAAAGTGAGTATCATATCAACGTTTGTTTGTTTTTTTATTTTATTTTCTGCTAGCATGAATGTGAATGTTTAGATTGAGCCGGATTCATGTAGAGAAGCAGAACTTTTCATGGAAAACAGAGAAATAATTACAACTGGAGGGGGGAATACTACTGGAATAGAAAAGATATTGAAAAGACTTTGGTATTTTTAATAAAGTAAATGACTCGTACTGTGTTCAGTAATTTAAGATGCTGTTGGTTTAAACCTTTTCTCTTGTAACGGGGGAATGCCCAGGTTATGAGTTTTTAGTCTGAATAATAATAAAAAAAAAACATGTGAAAGAGATAACAGTAATAATACACACAATCCCCATTCATGCTAACATAAACAACTGATTTCATCTGAGAACATGGAGAGAACGGCGTCACAAACACCCCTCCACAGGATCAGAGGGTTTTTGAAGATTGAAGGGTTTTCATAACGTCGCTCAGTTATCAGGACTTTGCGAGCTTTCCTGCTGACAGGTCTCTACGAACCCATGGATCGGAGCACAAAAGAGAAGCACTTTCAGCAGCAATTATTTGTCTTTATCACCTCAATCAGCTAATTGCGCTCTAATTGTCTTGCATGGGGGAGAAAAAAATGTTAAGATCATTACTGCTTCTTCAGAGCGACTGTTTTCATACTGGCTAAAGGGGCTAATGCAATCAGTGGAGCGTGAGACGGAGGGGCGAATCAGCGAAGCTGAAGTCATCCATGAGGTTGTGAGATATAGTGATTATATACACATTCAGTTCAGCAGCATCCCTGATAAAGAAAACGAATTATGAAGCACATTTTACTTCTTGCTCATTTCCTATTTTAATGTTCTGAGCAAGAAGCCAGAAGCCGCTTCACCTCTGAGCTTCGCAGCTCTCTTTTTGGATTCATTGTAATTCTCAAGTGGTGATTTAATATGTAGTAATACTTTGTGAGCACAAAGCTTGGCTGTAAATACGCAGAATGTTCTGACATGTTCCTAAAAGATTGAATACGAGCGTTCTTTGGCCAGCTCCATAAATTATACGAAAGTACAAAGCCAATAAAATTACTGACCACTCAGAGAAGGGCTGCACAATATATTACAAATGCATCATGGGATATGAACATATTTTTTTTTACATACTAATGTCATATTTCTCACACATATGCTGAAGCTCACAAAATGATGGAAAGAGATTGAAAGAAGAAAATAGGGACATATTGTGTCTGATATGGCTATTGTACTTTTTTTTTTTACCATTATTATCATAATCGCAAGAAATTCTAATATGATGCAGCCTTAACTCAGAGTATTGTTTTTATTTTCCTCAAAATAACTGATGGCAACGGAGGTAAAATAACTAACACAAATGCCCCCGTGTTCATCGCTCCACTTATCCGCCGGCAAATCTGTCCTGAAAATGAGCAGCCCTGGTCTTTCTTAATAAATATTTAGCTTTCTGCACTGAGACCAACAGATTATGACGCACAGCCGGCAGACCTAAAACAATTAATAAGGAATTTGCTGTGAAAGTGCAAAAACAACCCCAGCATACATTTGGACAGCATAAATCAATTACAGAGGTTGCAAAATGAAAATGAGAAATGTTTGCCTTCTCCTGAGCTATTTGTGCATTTGCTCTCAGTGACACTGTCAACAAACAAGAGATGCATCAGCAGAGCTTCACAAGTCTCCTAATCCGGGGTAAAGATCTGATAAATGTCCTGACAAGCCTATTTATTTAAAAACATAATGCAATATGTGGTTTGAAAGGTAATCTATGCACTACAAAGCACATAAATATGATACAATTAAGCAATAAAATAAATGCTGCAACACAGATGAACAAATTAAGCTAAAAATATTTTAAGCTTTTTTTTTAAAAAAAAGGTCAATGCATGGCTTGCCAATATTCAAGGACATGTTATATATCTTTTCTATAAGTAAAATAGTAGCAACAGTAAAACATATTGGCTACTGCAGCTCCCTATTTGTTTCCCTGCATGTGATATTTGTGGATATCGAGAAGAGCTCAAATGCTAATTATTTACGTTTTACAACACTCAAAGCAAAGCGCAACGCTTTTAAAGCACGCTAACAATCTTTATTGCAATGCTTGTCTGCCAAAGATCACTTCAAACAGCTCCTAAATCAAGCTACGACGCAGGCAGTCGAGTCTTATTGAAACAGAGAGCAAGCATGCTAACATTAGCCTAGCATATCAACTTAAGTCTTCAGCATGAAAACATTGTTAGCAGGAGCAACACATGAATGTATTACAGAATTTTAGCTTTAAGTCTTTAGAAACAAATAAGAGCTATGTGTGTTATAATTGACATGCTGTACATAAAAGCAGAGGGTTAGCCTAGCAAACACTTTGAATCTACTGTTGAGACAAAATTTGTCACAACAAAAAACAGCATCTAGAACCTCATCGGTGAGAATGAGGTGGACAAAATAATAATGTAACCCATATAATATTGATGAAATATAGTGTATTATTTTATTTACAAACTGTACATGGGATTTACTTAAAGTAAGCTTTAAACAAAGGCTTGGTATCAGCAACTGAATGAGATTAAATGACTCTGGAGGTATTAAGAACGTAAATCTCCATCAGTGCCTTTGCTACTAATTTTGTCCTTTGGTTCAGTCACAAACGCAGCACAAAAATGCTAACATAGCATTTAGCTACAGCTAACTACTGTATTTAGTGAGGCACAAATATTGAACTACACCTACCGTGGAATTAGATATTTTTCGGTGAAGTTTGAGTGTTAATTCTTATCTGACAGAGCCCAAACATAACATTTAATCTCATACACCATCTCTCTGTAGAGGTACATTTTCTGTAGTTGTCAACTCTGCAGTGGGAGATTTTCTGCAGTGGAATACGAGGGAGATAAAGCAAGAGACCATTTTTCCAGAACTATGAGAAGACAGGACATTATGCAGAAAGGAATGTGTAGAAAGTCTGCTATCTTTACAGCCCATCCTGAATGGTGGATGACAATGCTGGGAGTGTTCAGAGCTCTTAGGAGAAAAATGTCTGTAAGTAGCCTGGAGCGAATGCATCCTGTATGCCCTCCCAGAAGAACGTCTCTTAAGACGTTTCAGGACAGTGCAGTGCCTAAATGTGAAAATAATATGATTTATTTTCTTCTATCTAATGCTTAAATATCTCTAAATATTATTTTGCACTGAATTTCTATGAATATTTGTTGGTCTGTGCTTTTGCTAAACTTACTCTGAAGCCAAAGCCAACCGCTATTTTCAGACTCCACATGTACTAAGTGATTGATGGTAGCACTGAAGCAGGGTGCAGAAGGGTCCTCTGACTTTTTCACTTCATGCAGTGCTGGAAAAAAAGAGCTAATGAAAAGGTAAAGGCTGCAGCTCAAGAAGTCTATCCAGCTTTATAGATTTATTACCAAACTGGTTGACATTTCTGCTGGATACTTGTGTGTTAAGATTTCCAGAAGGCTTTATAAAAAAGATCAATCTGGATTTTAAATACCACAATAGTTTAACGTTATTGTAACTCGGAGCTATATCGGGTTTGGGAGCATTTTTGTCGAGCTTATTATTTTTACTCGTAAGACTTTGATCACTTCACCAAGTTAAAGAGTTAAACAGGGATCTGTGCTCATCTGAGCAAAATTAGGTAACACAGGCTGTCTGAAAACCTTTTATTTAGGCTCCATCTATGCACATAATTATAGTCTAACACTTGAAAGCTGAGACAACAACCAGCTGCTGATCTGCAGAGAAAATGAAATCAACATGGGGGACACTTGGAGTGAGAAAACCTGCCTGGAAGTGTTGGTCTAGTGAAGGAGCTGATCTGGGACATATGGGCTTCTAAAATTAAAAGTGGCGTTTTCTAATAAACTGTATAAAGTCTGATTTATAATATGGTGATATCAACAGGATAGAAAACAAAACATCGAATTCAGTCCTTTGCAAAATCCTATCCACATTTTATACCTATATTTTGCCATTTCGTCCCCCACAATAAACTACCTAGAACCCATGTACGTAAGCAATTGCTTTCCCGTTTGTTAGTTTTTAGAGGCAAGTTTTGGATATTAATTACGCAGATATAAATTTGTGGAAATAGTATGTTGTTTCAAACCTCATTTTAGGCAAGTTGACTCGAATACAACATAACAGATTATAACCCCTGAGCAAACCAAAATCTTTCTAAGTAACCTCCTCCAAGTAAATGTTATTTATTGGAATCTTATAACCACATCTACTTGGAGTGCAGATTTAAGAAAACTACTTGAAGTTATCGGCAGTGGTGGAGAAAGTACTCAAAAAATGTACTTAAGTAAAAGTACAAATACACAGGCAAAAACGTACTC